GTTCTCACTTATTTGTGGGAGCTAATAAAAATAAAATATGCAAATAAACGGGGAGAAAAAAAGACAACAATCATAATAATTCCTTGAATTTGTTAAGTAAACAGATATGACATTGATGGGGGGAGGGGGCGAGTGAGGAGAGAAGAGGAGGAATTGGTAAAGGGACATGAAAATCAACTACATTGTATATTAATAAATTAAAATTAAAAAAAAGAATTGAGCCCTGAGATGCATCCATTCACACAATGCTCTTTATACTTTTAATGATATGTTCCTCTCAAGCTGAACCTAGGCACTACACACAAGTCTGCTCCAGCCCCTGCTCCCCAGCATCTGTGACAAGCAAGTGTGGGGTTCTCTTATCACAGCCAACTGTCAAAGTAACTTGTTTCTTCATCCACTGTGACCTGTTCACCCCCTGTAACCACTATGAACCATTTTGTATATGGTTCCAAATCTTCTATGCATACACACACACACAATTGAATATTATTACTTTCAAAGAAAGGAGATCATTCTATACACATTGTTCAGAAGTTTACTTTCTTCACTTCACAATTTATTCCTGCCAAACTTCCATGCTTGTACGTATGGATCCATGGTCCTTTATAGGGAGTTGTGGAATCCAAAAACTTAAAAAAATTTTTTTTAAAAATTTTTATTGAATCATAATTGATTATATAGATTTTGGGGGGGTCAACGTTGAGGTATGTTGATCAAATCAATATTATTACATACATATAATAATTATGATTTTTTAAAAAATTTTTATTGAATCATAATTGATTATATAGATTTTGGGGGGTCAACGTTGAGGTATGTTGATCAAATCAATATTATTACATACATATAATAATTATGCAAATATATAATAATATACATTATTACAAATTGTACTTATTCTTTATGCCCCTTATCCAATCTCTCCCTATCCCCCTCTCCTTTCCCCATCCCACCTCTGATAACCCTAGATTTCTTCTCTCCTTCTGAAAGAGTATCAGTTACTGTTGGTTTGTTGCCTAAATAATCTGTCCAATGCCGAGAGAGATGTGTTCAGGTCCCCCACTATTATTGTAGAGCAGATGTTTCTTCTGTCACTCTGGAATGGGCTTTGTGGAGAGAGACATCGTCTTCTTTTCTTTAGTCTCTGCTGATGACTCTCCGTGTGTCAATGCACTCCAAAATCCAAAAACTTTTGAAAACTGAGTTTTTTGCAAGTCATTTCAATTTCTTAATAATAATCTTAGAACAAACATATTTGCCACCCTGTGTACTTCAAGAAAAAAATAAGAAAGTCCAGTTTCAGGATCAAGTAGTATAGATATAGTCAAATTGCCTCTGTCCCTCAAACCCTGTACCAATCTGTATTCTCACCAAGACTGAGAGAAGACGACAAGGCTTAAGTTAGAAATTATTAAGAATTTCTCTCTTCTATTTAAAGGTTAGAACATTTCTAAATTTAGAGGTCAAATATTTTTTAGAACAGATGTCAAACATTTTTGATATGTGCTAAATACACAATTTATTTCTTTTATTTCCTGACCATCACAGAATTAGTCCACCAACAAATCTTAAAATTTCATCATACAAGTGGTCTGTTTGTCTTTAACACTGCCTTATCTTGCTTTTGGTTCTGTTCTGATTTTGTTATTCCAACGACCAAGTGACTGGGCCTCTTCTGTCTTTACTTGTGAATGAATCCTTGCCTGGTATTGATGTGTCCTAGGCAAGTATTTTCTACCTACTCTATTGTTTTCATGGACGTGTCCATCATATCTCCCCAATATTAGAGATCTAAGCAGATGCCTCTGCCTGAGTTCTACATGATCTTCTGCATTTACTTGGCTAAGCAGCTGGATCTGATATTAATTAGGACTTTGTATTAAAGTCATTCGTACACACTTGTAGTATTCCCAAAGACCAGTTTCCCTATTACAGAACTCTTTGGAGTCACAATTTCAATGGCAGTCCTTCAAATCACTTGGCCTTGTTGCCACACTGTGACAGCCACTGAAAGTCATCCTTCCTGCAGTTCAGTTGAAATTCCCATTTCCTCTGTCCACCTCTGAGTGGTGCCTCTGACCACCTAACTCTAGAGTAATTTAACATTCCTTTTCCCCTGGAGAGCAGAGATGTATTTCTAAGATGATTGGAAACAGTTCACTTGGCTAATATAATGTTAGCTCTGTGAGCCTTGAAATCTGTTTTGAACAGGTCACTTGCCCATCAAAGTTTTCATTAGCTTGTAATTTTCTCTTTCCTTTCCATACACCCACTTAGTTGGTGTAACAGTTCTTGGCTTATACTTCAGTCAGCAGAAAAATGACGGATACTAACACTTCCTTTGGTAGGAGACTTGATATAAAACATTGGGGAATTTTTTTTTTCAGAAGGGAAATTATGCTTGAGAAGATAAAATAGGCGGCATATCAGTATTCAATTTAGAATGTATCTCAAGAACTTATCAGTCTTAGAAACTGTTGAGCTATAGCTTGTCAGGTGAATAAGTCATATTAAGTTGTTTTGTGTGAGCTTTTTATGAGGGTTTTGATTTTATATCTCTATTTTGATAGCTAAATCCTATATATGCCTTTTATCATAAGCGTCCTTAAATAATTTTGGGAGAGAAGTGAGGTATAACTAAGTAAATAACACTACTTGGATTAGCCCCAAAAGAAGCCAGCAAGAAAACAATGTCTTTTTTTTTTTTTTGACAACACATTTATTATATACAAATACAGTGAAGCCTTAGATATGGATATTGAAAGTTATGTGTATTAATCCAGTTAACTAAAAGTCACTGCTATTCTTCCTCTGAGGTCAGTCATACAGCCCAGTGATGTATTTTCTGGAATCCAGAGTAGGGGTTGGCAAACTATGGCCCATGGACCAATCCAGCCTATCACCTACTTTTGTAAATAAAGTTTTATTAGAACACAGCCACATCCATTTGTTTATGTTATTATCCAGGATTGCTTTTATGCTAAAACAGCAGAGTTAGTAGTTACAACAGAGACTGTATGTCCCACAAATCCTAAAGGATTTACTATCTGGCCCCTTACAGAAAAAGTTAGCTACCCCTGATCTAGAATCTCTATCCCTGACTATGTCTACTTACAGTGGTTCCTTAGCCTCAAACCAAATGAACAACTAACTATCTAGCAAAATTTCTTGCTCCTTTTACTTGCTCAATGAAGACAGTACAAAAACCAGTCATAAACTATATTCTGACACATCGGGATGAACATACGAGGCATAACAACAACAAGCTGTCTTGTTTTCAGGATTTTACCTTCAGTGCTTTCTATGTACAGAGAATATTACAAGTTGGTTTCTAGAGCATGGTGTAGTACAGCCTTCTGTATTCACACTGTAATTGCTGATGACGGAAGCTCTGAGAAGAGATCCTTTATCAAGTTCTATCACTAAAGCCAAGTAGAAGGCTTCATGTAGAAGTAACTAAGCCATGGCCACTAGTATTAGTGAGCTAGTTTTTCATATGTAGGCAGCGTTAAGAGTACTACTTTACAAAACTTGTTGAGCCTTGCTATCAGCAGTTTTAACTGAAACTAAAAGCCAAGCCAAAAATGGAATAATTAGGTATTTTCCTATTGCATCATAGTGCATATGTAACTTACCTCCCACTTTTTAGCCTGTTAAAACAAATATCTCAGTCATGCAATCACCTGTTAATTCTCCAAGTGTATAAAAAGTAAACATGTTAGACAAGTTGTGTGAT